CACTTTTGCCCTTCCTATCACGGCCGCTTCGTGGTCGGCAGATTGCAACTGATTCTGCGCATGTTGCCCTTTCTCTTTCAAGGATTCGGTGGCGGTAGCCTTGAGCTCCATCACTTCGTTCTCTGATGCAACTGCGGGTGCCAATGCCTCATCCTTCTCTCGAGCTTCGGCAGCTGACTTTTCTGAGCTCAGACGAAGCTGTTCATCAGTTTGCCCCCTTCATCCGCTGCGTCTTACGTGAGTTTACCAGCGAAAAATTCATTAAGGAGCTTCTGCCGCTGAGCCCGAAAGTTGGGGTCAGCGCTATGTCGCCGCCATTGCTCATTCCACTCCGCCTGTTCCACAGGCAAACTCTTTCGTTGGTGCTCGTGTTAAAGTGGTCTTTACAACTTGGCGATCCGCAAGTAGCGCATTCCCCGATTTTCGGACTCGAGGATACTGAGCAATTCTCTTCATTGGGCCCTTTTGTGGGCTGTGGCTGCTGGGCAGCCCTCGCTCGCAACATTGGCGGCATTCCTCCCTCCGGGGGGCGCCAGGCCAGGCTGGGCCTGCGAGGGCGTCGCACCAGTCGGCTGGGCCGCTGGCGATGGTCGTCTGCTCGCCTCCGCCGGCTTAGCTAGCCGGTAGGCGCATCTCGTCGCCTGCTTGCATTCGCTGAAGAGATGCTCTGGCATTCTCATGTAACTTTATCTCTCTTCTGTGTTGATTATTCTGATCACTTATCGTCGCAGCTACAATCTGTGTGTTGGCCACTTCCAGTCTGGCAGCACTAAGTTGGTCTTGGAGCTCATGTTTGTCATGTTCTGCCCTGGCCGTCGCGGGCCTCTCCCTTTTTATTCTCGCCGCGGCAACAGCGGCGCATGCGGCCTTGGCGTCGACAGATTGATTGTTCGCCGCCCCGGCAGCCTGTCGCACAGAAGATATTGTCTCAACAAGTATGTTCTCGGCTTCTTCTTCCGCGCGCTGTTGGACAGCCGCGGTCTGATATGACATTTGTTCCATCAGCTCTTGCTCCCGCCTTCTGGCAGCTTGGGCCAGGGTGGCTCTTTCAGCCTCGAACTTCTTCCGAACGCCCTCAATAACCGCGTTCATTTCTTCTTGATCCAGTCGGGCCTGCTCGGCCCTCTGGGCTTCCAAAGCTACGATTGATTGCTGCATTTTGGCCTCGACGAATCTGGCCTGATCCTGCATAGCCTGTATGAGAAGGCATGAACAGTTATGTTCTTCCATCTGGAAGCAATCCTCGCACAGCCATTGATTGCCGCAAATGGGACACACGTTAGAACAGTTTCCACACACTGGACGCTTGCAGGGTCAACCCTGTTTGTGAGTTTTCCCCGGACACCTGCTTTCCGCTTGGGGCGGGCAGTCTGGGCCTCGGTTCCAGCACACCTCACGCATGGATACTGTACTGTTACTCCTCGAAGTCGATCGGGCACCAGATCGTGGTATCTTGGGCCTTCCCCTGCTAGAGGCAGATGATCGAGGACGGACGTGCGTGCTCTCCGGTGGCTTGGCCACCTCTCGGAGCTCCTCATCCCGTGCATCTTGTTTAACCAATTCGGTGAGTGTTGCCGGGTGGTCAAGCATCTCATCATCCTCAACTACCGCGGGCACCAGCGGTTGCCAATCGCCTGGGCCGACGGCAGTTCAATAAAACCCTTCCTGAAGCGGGGAATCATTCAGATCATAATCTTCGCTCCTATGCTTCTTATGTTGAGGGGCGGGGGTTCGACCCGTAATCTCCCGGTCATGCTTCACATGATATTGAGAACCCATTTCAACCTCGTCCGCCTGTGGCGGCAGGTCGCTGTTCGTGGTATCTAAGTCTGGCTCTGCGAGCGCCTTCACAAGGTCTTCCAAATGATCGTAGTCAACGGTTTCTTGCCCAGGGGATGACCTTCCGTCCGGGACGGGATGGTCAGCAGCACTCATCAGCGACAAATCTTGGCCTGGTGACACTTGAAAATTGGCATACTCTATGTCTTCCTCCATGGAGTTTATATCATTTTCGTCATCAAGCTGTTCGTCGCTATCTTGACCGGCTTGCCCGTCCAAGGCTATCGGGATGGGATAAGTCCCATGCGCGCGACCCCATCCGTCTGGGACGGAGGGGGGCATGCCGCCGGACTCTTTTCCGTCTTTCGACCCACTGGCTAGGCCAGCGGCCGGCTCAACAGACCGCATTGCGACCGGGCTGGAATGTATTGTCTCAGAGGATTCGGCAATCCAAAATGGAAAGGCTCTGCGCCTGACATTTACTGCCGTGCCGTCCCGCCTTATCGGGTCTGGGGTCTGTTCACGATCCCTGATCGGAATGCGAGTGGGGGAATCATCGATTGACAGATCTATAACTTCTCCCCCACCCCTTCCACGAGAAATTCGAATGGCATTAGAAGAAGAGAGAAGGCGGCCCTCCCCCGGGCCGCTGTCCTTGTGTTCTTGCCCGCCTCGCTGTACAACCTGTGATCCGACGGGCAATTCGGCTGTCTCATCATAGCTCATCCCTGTTGCGACTTGGTTGCGGGTTTCGGCTGATAACTAATCTTTCCTCTGAGAATCGGGGTAAGATGCCAAAGGAATTAAGGTCTCATGTTGACTCTGCTCAGTGGTAGAGGATACGGGATGAGACATCGATGGAACTATCGGTTATCCGTTCAGCAACGACACTCAAGTATAGGGAGTGAGGAGTCCGGCCAGGGACGGACGACGACACGGGCCGCCCACGCGCCCCCCGGCGCGCCCCTTTTTTCCACTCGAGCAGTAGATACAGCTTCGGTATACATCGATACCAATGTCAAGGTACAGCAAGGCAGGCAGCAGGAGAGGCAAGTGCATCATGAGGCGGAAAGGAGCATATTTACTGGATCGAGACATCCACCGGCCCACGCTGCGGCAACATCAAAGCGGAGGTCTGGGAGGTGGCAAGGCCTCGGCCGAGTCGGACGAAAGCGGGGGGAGCGAATAGACTCACGTGGCTGGCTTGCCCGTCGCCTCCGTGCGCCCGAGGCGCCCCGATTCTTTAGAAAGGCGCCCGGAGGTGGGAACGAACCCAGCTGCATGCAGCACATTTTGCCCCCCCCCTTCCTTGTCTCCTAACCCCTCCTTTCGCCCGACTCGATTTGGCTTGCTCACAGACATACCCTGGAGCCACCGCCAACGTCTTTCCAGAAGGAACCTGCATTTGAGAAGCGATGCGCCCTCTGGCCCCCCTCCTCACCTGGATGCACGACGAGCGCCAGCGGCACTGAAGGGACGTGCGGAACATCAAGCCCCTTCGGAAACCACATTGCGCCCTATACCAAGGCGTCGATTGCAGTCCCAGCTGTCCTGGAGGAGGAGGCGGAGGAGGAGGAGGAGGCCCCAAGGGCAGCCTGGGGCGGTCTCAACATCTCTGCACCGCTTCCGGCGGGCCCCCTCGGGCGCCCCGCGCTCCGGGCTTGGGGCCCTTCTCCCTACGGGCCTGTCGACTTTTCGCCATTCGACTTGTGGGGATCGAGCCAGATACTTACAGGTAAATGCAGATAAATCGAGGTACATCCAGGTCCATCGAAAGACAAATCCGGGTAAATCCAAATAAATCCAGATATCTCCAGGGAAAGTTGGAGCAATTCGCGGCTGCTCCAGCGAGAGTCAAAGGACGGCAGAAGTCGTTAAGCCTTTAACGACCTTCTGAGGCCAGCGTACACCTTTTCGGGCTGTGCGCAGCCTCCAGCCTTGCCAGGACGAGGTTTAGGTCGGGCATGTCCTCCTACACGCGGATTTTGGCGAAAAAATGAAAGTGCCAGAACATAATCAAACTTAGCAACAAATAGTAACAACAAATCGTCCCAGATTATTTTTGGACTATTCTTGAATTTTCCCCTTGTAGAGGGACACGTTCGACTTAAGACGAGGTGGATGCCGCCAAAATCGGGCTGGAGCAGGTGGGGTCGGAGGATCGTGCCGCAGCGCCGATGCCTCGGCGATGCCCCGGCGATGCCTTGGGCGACGCCTCGGGGTGCAGGAGATCGGTCTCCGGATCGCGCTGCATCGCCGACGCACCCTCCGACCCCGAATCGAGCAGCTCCGTTTGGGCGGCCTGGGCCACATCTGGGCGTCGCGAACACTCAACTCACGATGCGAGCTTTTTTTTGATTCGGCGTTTCGACATTGGGCGGAAAGGGGGGGCGGGGAGGGGGGGGTCTGGATCCAGACCTCTGCTTAGTGCGACTGTTTGCAGCAGTGCGTTCTGAGACCGACCCCACCTGCTCGAAACAGGCGCCAGAAGAACAGCCAAGATCTACTCCATATTGGGGGGCGGAGGGGGGGGTGCGAAGGCCCGCGCCGATCGGCAAAACAATGAATAAAAAAGACCCCGTCTAGTCCAGCAGCTCCGTTTGGGCGGCCTGGGCCACATCTGGGCGTCGCGAACACGCAACTCACGATCGGAAATTTGCCTCCTTCCGGATCCTGGGGCCCTGATGGGGGATCAAGAGGTACCGCTACCGCTACTCCCCGACCTCTCCCAGGGTGCGTTCTGACCCGAATTTCGAGGCGAATCCAGCGGTGGCGACGAGGGCCCCTCAGGAGGCCCCAACAGTGGAAAACGAGGGAAGGGTAGCGGTATGGGTACCTTTTCCTCCTCCGACCTGGTGCATCAGCGCAGCTCGAAGAAATCATGTGTGAAGACGGAGGCTCCACAGCTCTGGTTGACTGCTTTTTGTCCCACACGGCGCCAGATATGCCCAAGGGGACGGGGCAGGAGAGCCCAGCATCGAATCGAGAAGTCGGATCGGCAATCGAAAGTAATCGGATCGGAGGAAATCGGCAGCCGAGTCGGGAAAAGTCGGATCGGCGGAAGTCGGCAGGCTAGTAGGCCTCAATGAAAAATCGGAGCCCAAATCGGACTCCGAAGTCGAATCACATCGGAATCGGAAGCTACCGAAATCGACACGAATCGAATCGGAGGAATCGAAATGAGCCCTGCAGGGGTGGGGGAAGTGATGCGTCGGGAGGTCCTGTCCGGAGCCCGACGTCGTCGCGTCGACCACCACGCTCAAGTCCACGATGTGAGGGCCCTTGCGAAAGCGGGTCTTGGCCCCAGTCAGGGACAGCGCCTCCGCGCAGAGCTCCAGCTCCGCGTGGTAGTCCCTCTCCTAGAAGAAAAGCGCGCCATAAACATAAATTGGCGCTCCGAGCGGACTTCTTGGATCTGCGCTGGGACCACCCGGCGGCGCCTCCGGCGCCGCCCCTGGCGCGCTCCGCGCGCCAGGGAGGGGGGTCCAGCGCAGATCAAAGAAATCCGCGCGGAGCGCCAACAGCAATTGTTTATGGTGTTTTTTCTTCCTCGATCTCCTCCGCCTTCACGGGCATCCTGCTCGCCTGCTCGACCAGCGTCTGCCAGCCCGCCGGCGCGTCCTTCAGCAGCCCCGGCGCCTCCAACCGCAGGGAGCTGAGGATGCGGTGCATCATCTTGCGGCGAGCCCAGGAGCCCGCTGAGCCCAGGCGCACGTACTCGTCCAGCGCGGCCCGGAAGAGGTCCTCGCGGTAGAAGCCGGCGAGCGTCATGCCGTCCAACAGGCAGCACAGCTGCTTGGGGGAGAAACCGGCCACGGAGGCGAGGCTGGCGTCTGCGAGGCTCTCCGCCAGCAGCCGTCTATCGCGGATCGAAACTTTTCCGAAGGCGTGCGCGATGGTCGGGTCGGCCGAGAGGAGGGGCTAGGATGAGATCGGCCATTTCCCCCTACAGGCGAATTTTGGATGGAAACGAAAATAATCAAACAGTGCGGACAAATAGCCAACAAAAAATGTCGAAAGATCGTCCTCAGACTAATTTTTGACTACTGTTAAGTATTCCTTCCGTAGAGGGGCGTGTCCGACTTAAGGCTATGATGCGGGGGGGTACGACATCTCCTGCGAGCGGCCCGTTTCGGCTCTGCCGCCAGGCGCCTTTCTCGACACGTGGGCACATCCGGCGCAATGAGAGCCACCCTCGTGTAAGCCGATTCGCCCCCCCCCCCCCCTTACACGAGCGGCGGACAGATCCGCATCCGCGCCCTCGCGGTCTGAACTCCGGGCGCGATCCCGCGGAAACGCGGCTGCACAGATACCTCCCGCGCGGGGCATCCGCGAACCAGAAGCGCCCCGCTTCCGTGGGGTCGCGGCCCAGGGGCCCTGCCCACGAGGCCGCCGATACGGGTAGGTTTTCCGCCCGCGACCTTTGCCCCCCCTCCTCCCAGATCTCCGACGCCGCGCTCTCTGCTTCGCAGCGCGGGTCCCCAAAAGTCTGGACCACCTCCGCCGGGGCGGGGGCCGGGTGCGCACTCCGAGCCGTGCTCCGGCGGCCTCCCGGGGCCCAGCAAGCCCCCCCCAGGAGGCCGAGGGCAACGACACTGGAAGCTTGGCAGTGGGCGCCAACACCAGAACAGGGGTCTGCCTCCACCGGGGGGAGATCATCGTAGATTGTGGTGTTGGTGGTAATCTTTCGGCTGCCTGGGAAGCCCGAGCATTGCCACCGTCACCGAGATCGGGACCATCTTCCCTCGCTGGGTGCACTCCGCCAAGATCGGTGCTGGTGTCAACCTCTGGGCCTCTGGCTCAGCAGCCTCTCGCCCGACCCGAGATGAGGGCCAGGTGCAGCGGCGGGTGCACCTCGGCGCGCGAGGCGACGCGCTCCGCAAGTGGCCCCCAGGCGGGCCCGCGCACGCCCAGGCGGCCGAGCGAGTAGGCGGCCACGGCGCACGAGCGCTCGTCCAACTGGCCCGCGCCCCGCGCGATCACGCCCCCCACGGCCTCGATCAGCGGCACCTCTCGGGGGGCGTCAGCCGACCACCTGCACCGGTGGCCAGACCCATCCTGGGCCCGGGGGCGTAGACACCGACCCTGGGCCCACGATCGGCCTGGCCGGGGCCCGTGCGGGCGTGCAGTCGGCGCCCCCCGGACCTCGCGCACAGCAAGCTTGGCGTACGAATGCAAGACAATTATCAGGAGGCTCGGGTGCATACGGACAAACCGCCTGGGCTCACGAATCACGTGGCTCATCTTCCGCAGCAGCCGCATGTCTGGCCAGTCGAACTTCGCCAGCACCACCGCGAGCGCGACCAAAGCCCTGTCGTTCAGCGAAGGCAGGTGCTGCCGCACCCGCTTCGCGGCCCTGAACACACAACGGCCGGGGTAGACGCCAAGGCGAGCAAACTCGTACATAATGAACACGATCCCTCGCGGCGAGATGAAGTGGAGCTTCTGCCGGAAGTACGCCGCGATGCACAGCGTCACCTTGGCCCAGAGCCGGTCCTGCGGCGACTCCTCGCTCCTGGCGCGCAGCCCACGACGGCGCATTGCGCCAAGGATCCAAGCCATGTCGAACTCCGTCCAGAGCTCGGGGCGGCGCACCATGAATCTGAGCATCCGGTAGTAAAACTTTACCTTGACCTTAACCTGCGCCTTGCCCAGCGCGTGCATCACCAGGCAGATCTGCGAGAACTGCAGGCCAGACGCCCCGCTGGCCGTCTGCACGGTGTGGCGGCTTATCCCGCTGACAAGGCCGCGCCAGAGCCCAGCGGGCTCCCGCATGCGCAGGCGGCCTGCGGATATCACTGCCGCCACCAGCTGCGCGGGGGAGAGGCTGCCGACGTTTTCGAGCAGATCCTCTTTGAGCCTCTCGTAGCGGTTGTCCCGCCGCAGCGTGACGTCTCTGAGAGACGTGCGCGAGAGCTCCTGGAAGTGGAACGCCTTGAGAGAGAGCTTCATCTTCTCGTGCTGCGTGCCCAGCTCGTGCAGCGCGGTCTTGACCACCCGCTCCTCTTCTCTCGACGCGTACCCGAACGAGTCTGTGGCTGCCGCGCGCCCCGCACGAGGAGTGCGCCATGCTGGCACTTGCCTGCAGCGTGGACAGCTCGCCTGCGAGGGAAGAGGCGGTGCAAACAGCCGTGGCGCCGAAGAGCGCAACGACATGGCCGAGCCTCGAGCCCTCGAGCCAACATGGCTGCAGAGGAATGACGAGATGGGCGAGGAAGCGTCGCAGAGCGCAGCAGATCCTCATGGAGGCCCTGACCAGGCCCATCACCGACTGCCTAAAAGCTGGACTGTACTCTGAGAAGGTTCCTCCGAAGCCAGGCGACTTGCCGAGCCACAGCAAGCACTACACTCGCCGACTGGCGACCCTGTAGGCACGCAGCCCTCAGCGGGGGCCAGTAGTGAGGACGCGCAGGATGAGGAGGATGAGCAGGAGGATGAGGAGGGGGAGGGACGAGCAGGAACAGAAGCAGGAAGGAGACGGAGTCGGCAAAGGTGGACAACGATGATGACGAGGGGAAGCACGATGAGGAGGTGGAGGGATGATGAGGGAGAAAGACGGAGGAAAAGGAGCATGACAAGGAGCAGCACGAGGCAAAGAGGTGCGTACTGCTGACAAGGATGAGGATGCGGATGCGCATTATGCCTGCCAGTCGGATTAGGAGGAGGGTTCCATGATGAGAAGGAGCCAGGGGAGGAGAAGGCGCAAGAGACGGATGATAACGCCCCAAGCCTCCCATCATCCTGAAACCTCGCAGAACTCACCGCCACCATCCTGCGATGAAAAGGAAGTCACCCCTCATGCTCCTCCTCCTCCTCCTCCTTTCCTCGTCCTCACTCGTCACTCACCCCCTCCTAGTATTCTTCGTCTTCCTGTTGTTCTTCTCCTGTTGGGCCCACGTGAAATCATTCGATCACCGCTCCATGCTCTGCTACTGCCCTGAACTGCGTTTCCGCTACGCGCTCAGGCGTGTAACCCATCCCCCTGCCCACCATCTACCTCATCCCCCCCCCTGCCCCTCTCCCTCTCCATCCTCCTGCTCCTCCTGCTCCTCCTCCTCCTCCTCCTCCTCCTCCTCCTCCTCCTCCTCCGTGCTGCCTCCCTCTTCCCTCCGTCCCGCTTGTCCTACTCTCCTCTCATTGTCCTGCTCCTTTCTCCTCCTCATGCCATCCCCCTGCTTCTCCTCCTTTCAGCGTTGGAGGACATGGTCGTAGCCACAAGCCCACAATGTCTCGCTGTCCGTATCCCCGCCCTCTTCCCACTGGGCGACTGCGGACGTCGTCGCATCCGTGACGGATCACAAAGCTTGACCCGCCCTCTCACCCATGTCTCCTTCCATCCCTCCTCTTTCTCCCTCTCCTCCCCCTTCCTTCCCTCCCTTCTCCCTCCGACCTCATCCTGGGGAACATGAAGAAGAAGGGGCAACAACTTCTGCAGACAAGGCCCACGTCCACTCTTCACAATGCTGATGCTGATCCCTCCTCCCTCCTTACCTATTTCCCTTCTTCCCTCTACTTCCTTACGTACCCCGCCTCCTTCATCCCTCCATCCTCCATTCTCCGTCTACTCCGTCCCTACCCCATCCTCCTCCTCCTCTTCCTCCTCCTCCTCCTCCTCCCTCCTCCTCCTCCTCCTCCTCCTCCTCCTCCTCCTCCTCCTCCTCCTCCTCGCCCCTCCTCCTCCTCCTCCTCCTCCTCCATCTCCTCCTCCTCCTCCTTCCAGAGGCCCTTTGACGTTGTCGCAACCACGGGAACATAACATTTCATTGCGCTTCTTCTGGCGCACGCCTGCAGACACACGTGCCCATATCCACTTTCCGTGTAGCGAGGCGCTCAGTGGAGTGCCCTCTGGTCTTCCCGAACCCTCGGTCCTGCATGCCGAGTGCTGCGTTCGGGGCCCTGGAGGCCAGCGCACTGGATTGTCTCGAGCTCCCCGTATGCCTCACGGGGTCAATCGCGTGACGTTTCGGGATGTGTCGCTCTCCTGCGCCTGAAGTGCCCCAAGATGGACCAAGACGATCCCGTGAGGCCGCCAGGACAATTCAAGAGGACCCGAGAAGGTCCCAGAGCTTTTCCAGACGGCTCAAGACGACCCACAGGGCCCCCAAGACGCCCGAAGAGGGCCTCCAGAGCATCCCCCAACGGCCCAAGTCATAGATTCACTATATGTTGGCGATTACTGTTCTCGCTCGTTCGGGCTTCCAACGCCCGAAGACGGTCGAAGAGGACTCCAAATCGCCCCTACGACGGTTCAGGATGCCCCCAAGACGGCACCGAGAGGGGGGGGCCTTTTGGGTCTTCCACCCCAGGATGGGCCCAAGCGAGAAGATGCGCCCGAGAGCCCTCCAGAAGCGCCTAAGAGGCCCCAAGAGGCATCTGGCCCACAACTCAGGCACGGTGGCGAGATGGGCCGACGGTGTCTAAGCAAAAGGCCTCACGACCTCGTCGTACTCCTCTTTGCCTCCTCCTCCCTCTTCTCCCTCTCTCTCTCTCTCCAACGTTCCCTTTCGTCCTCCTCCCTTTGCCCCTTTTTTTCCGTCCTCCCCTTCTACAAATCCTCCTCCTGCTGCTCCCTCGCCGTTCTTCGTGATTCTCCTCTTGCCCCTCCCTCTCCTCTCATTGTATCAATATCCCGTTGCACCTTCTCCCTATTCTTTCTCCCTCCCCCTCCTCCTCCCTCACCTCCACCTCCTCCTCCTCCTGCTCCTCCCTCCCGCTGCTGCTTACCCTCCTCCCTCCCATATTCGCTCTCTGTCCTTCTCCTCCTCCTCCTCCTCCTCCTTCCCCTCCTGCTCCTCCTCCTCCTCCTCGTCGTCCTCGTCGTCCTCCTCCTCCTCCTCCTCCTCCTCCTCCTCCTCCTCCTCCTTTTCCTCCTCCTAAAAGCAGCAATCGCTGCGCGGTCGGCGATCGCTGCGGCCCTGCGGGGTCGACTTCCTCGCCGTAATGGTCGCTGCCGTCGCCGTCGCCTTCGCCGCCGCCCTTGCCGTCGTCGTCATCGATGCCGTTGCCAGGGGGGAAACCAACACGCTTCGATACCGATGCTCCTCGGATCTCTCCCCTGGTGCTTGCTGACCAGAATTTCGAAGCGAATCCAGCCGTGGCGACGAGGGCCTCCGAAGCGGCCCAAAAAAAGTGACAAGGAGGGAAGGGCAGCGCCATCCGTAACCCCCTGCCCCTGGTAATCATCCCCGGGGGGCAGTAATGTTCGGGGGTCTGGCGGGGATAATCAACGATTTCCCTGGCGGATGATGATGATGCTGATGATGATGATGCTGCTGATGATCCTGGGCGCTCGTGTAGACTGACCCTGTAGATCTTGGCACAAAACTGACTCGACTGATCTCGAGTCTGGGCGCTCGTGTTTTCTGACCTTGTAGATCTTGGCACAAAACTGACTCGACAAATCTCGAGTCTGGGCGCTCGAGGAGGGGCCAAGAACCGTATGAGGAATGCGCTTAGAAAGTAACTCCAATGCTTTGCCTGCTCGAAAAACGCATGTAACTTCAAAGTCAAATCGGTCCCCATGGCCCTGCCACACGTTCCTGACTCGGGAACGGCTGAGAAAGTGAGAATCCCATGGCCCTGCCGCGCGTTCGTGACTTGGGAAAACTGAACTGGTGAGAATCCCATAGCACTGCCACAAGCTCGTGATTGCGAAAGCTGAAATGGTGAGTCCACCATTGCCACGCTCAGCGTTTTTGATGCTGTTGCTAGTCAACATCAGATGATAGCAACTTCGATTCGCAACTTCCCCCGGGGATTATCAAGTTCGGCCTCGCCGCCCATCTCCACAATTACATACTGTTGACACGAGGTAATAAATATTCAGGGGGTAGGGGGGGGGATGCTGTATCATCGGGGGCAGGGGGGTAGCTATTGCTACTCTGCGCCATCGCCGCCCTCGTGATCGCCTTTACTAGAAGAAGAAAAAGCGCTATACATATACACTGTTGGCGCTCCGCGCGGATTTCTTGGATCTGCGCCTGACCCCCTCCCTGGCGCACGGAGAGCGCCAGGGGCGGCGCCGGAGGCGCCGCCAGGGGGCCCAGCGCAGATCCGAGAAGTTTATGCTTATGGCTTTTTTCTTCTTCGAATTATCTCCGTCGACGACGTTGCCGTCGACGACGCCTCCGCCCTCGACGGCCGGCTCTTGGAGGCCTGGACATGGGCACCAACATCAACACAGGGGTCTGCCTCCACAGGAGGAAGATGATCCTAGATTTCGGTGTTGGTGGTAATGCCTCGGTCGCCTTGGAAGCCAGGACCATTACCACCATCGCCGAGATCGGGATCTTCGTCCTTCGGTGGAGGAACACCGCCGATGTTGGTGTTGGCGTCAACCTCTAGGCCTCCGAGGCTCCTCTCGAGCGCCTGCGGCGCCACAAAGGCCGCTCCGCTGACGGCGCCGCCCAGCAGCCCTGCGGCGGTCAGCGCCTGCGGGGGCCCGGGGGGCCGTGGGCCTCGGCTCGCCCCCCCCGACTGGCGGCGCGGACCAGGGGGTGGAGGGAGGGGGGAGGAGGAGGAGGAGGAGGAGGAGGAGGAGGAGGAGGAGGAGGAGGAGGAGGAGGAGGAGGAGGAGGAGGAGGAGGGACTCCTCCCCTGCACATGTCCAGGGATGCGTCTTGGCCACCCGGCCGCGGCGACGGGGCGGACCCCTGGCGACCCACCACAGCCTGCGGAGCGCGCCCGAGGAGCCTGCCCATCGATCCTCTGCAGACTCCTCCTGGGGAGGTGCTCTGTGCGAGCGGCGCGCTGCTTCTCATGCCCCCCTTGGCGGTGCGCACAAGGCGAGGCGAGGCGAGGCGAGGCGAGGCGAGGCGAGGCGAGGCGAGGCGAGGCGAGCGCCAATGCCGCTCCGTGCGCGCGCCCGGAGCGCCTCCTCTAGAGGTCGGCGGCGGGGTCGTAGCCCCTCAGATTGCATCAGCCCATCGTTTTCGAGGCCCGTGTGGACGCCGTGTTGCGAGTTGGCAAACTTGTGGGTCCCAGTGATACGCTTTGTAACTCCATCGATCTGGGCTGGAGGGAGGGGGATGGAGGGGGGGAGGCTGCTTCTTAGAAGGAGGCTGCTTCTTAGAAGGCGCGGACCTTACATCTACAGACGAGGCCTGCGCCTTCTAAGAAGCGGGGGTGCTTCTAAGAAGCTCTCCCCGCTCTCCCCACCCCCCTCTGCGCGTGGCTGACCCCCCTCCCACCCCTATGGCCTCCGACGATGAACCGATTCAATCCGCGGCCTCGGAAATCTCGACCCCTTCCCCAGGTCAATCTTCTTCCCGGGCCCGTCTTTGATGCTCCCTCGCCCCCCCCGATGCCGAAGCGGAGGAGACGCGCTGGGACTGAAACGTTCAACCCGCCCGAACACTCCCGACTCCCCCCCGCCCTCCTCCCCTATCCCGTGCCCCCCCCCCCCTCCCCTCCCTCGTCCCTTCGCGTCCTCGTTCTTCTCCCCGGAGCTGCTTCCACGCCGTGTGTTTTTTCACGACGTGGACCCCCGGGAGGTCTGGAGCACTTCATGGGGCCGGCGCGTCCTCCCGGAGCCAGTCTTTTGTCGGCTCCAGGGGCCCAGCGAGGGCCCCCCAGAGGCAGAGAAATGCATACAATCTTAAGTCGGGCATGTCCCCGTACAGGGGGATTTCGGACGAAAACTAAGCAGATTCGAAAAATATTCCAAAACGCTCAAGAATAGTACTAAAGTCGTCCCCACATTATTCTTTACTATTTTTGACTATTTCTCCTGTAGAGGAAAAAGCCCGACTTAAAACAAATCTCACGTTACCATTCTTTCTCACGGCTCTCATCGTCAGCCCCTGGACCCGTCCTCGGACGCGCTCCGACCAGAGCATCGGCAGGAACCCAGCCGTGGCGACGAGGCTAGAAAACCGCCGCGAACTGACTCATCCAACCTCGAAGCTCGGACACGCTTGCGAGCCTATGGTCAGGAACTTTTGCTTAGTGTGTCGTGGCGGCGGCCCCAGCGACACGCTGTGCCCTGCGACTGGATAGCGTGTCGCTCCGCTCCGCGGGGCGGAAGGGGCGAATAGTGGTAGGCCTGAACTGGCGAAGCGACTCAGAACGCAGACCCCCCCTCAGATGAATACCTGTCGGTGGCGCCTTCGAAGGTAAGCCCCAACCCGCTGGGGAAGCCGACCCCCTGCCCCAAACCAGCATCGTTGCCGAAACCTCGGCCGATCTTCGCCGATGCCGCCGTGCAAGCGCGCGGCCATAGCGCCCAGAGCCTTTCTGAACAGGCCCGCGCGCCAACAAGCGCGCGCCGGTTTGAGATGGCAAGCGCTAGCAGTGGCTCACAACGCGCCGCAGGGCCAGCGATCACCGCACCGTCCCTGAGCACCCCTCTGCTGCCCAGTGACAGTGCCTGCGAGCATATCAAGTGCCAAGGACCACCGCTGCGCCTGCCGGCGCCCAGACGTGCATGGGGAAACAAAGGAGGATCGGGCACCGGGAGGCCGCGGCGGGGAAGGGAGGGGGCAGGGGCAGGGAAACCGCGTGGCGGGAAGAGGGCGGGCGGGGCAGAGAAGGGAGTGGGAGAGGGAGGGGGCGGGGAGGGCCAGAAGGGGCTGCCACTGCCCCGCCCGAAAGCGGAAGGTCGCGCAACTTTGCTCGGATGCCGTCCTCGTTGAACACTGGGCACGCCATTGCAATGCCGAGCTTTTCACTTCGTCGCTGCTAGCCCGGTAGGGCTAAGACGGTGGTTTGAGCGCAACGGGTGTGCTCCTCGATGGCACCAGCACGCAAACTGCAGAACCCGCTGGCCTAGCGGAAAAAAACTTCCAGAGTGCCATCGATCGTTGCGTGATCTTCAGCGTTGCTGTTCTGTCGGGGCATGGATGTATCAATTGCACCACCCCTTCCTCTGTAAGTCCCCCCCTGGATATCGAAACGGCCCAGCAGGCCCTCGGGCGAGTTTCAAGACTGTTGCTCCCACGCGTTTCTTGTACAAGAGTTCGTTTCCCCAGGGCAGCGGTCATCCCCAAGTAAATGACTTTTGGGGTCCACGCTACCATGATCACGACCTCTGTCAAATTGCGCTGGGCGCTCGCTCCCAATGCCATGACCCGCCCCGCGTCACCAACGACCCGCATTCCCGAGCAATCCCTCGCATAGTACATAAGAGCGGTCACCCAACGTGGGGGCACGTTATAGAGGAGCGCGAAGGATCCGCGCTCCCAAAGCCAGGATCCGTCGCAGATCACGCTGCAATCGCACTCCAAGGGCCATGATCCAGCATAGAATGCATTTTGGACCCGCGCTCCCAGGGCAATGATCTCTGTTACATTGCATTCGATCCGCGCCCCGAACGCCACGACCCGTCTCACATTTTGGCGAGCCCACGTTTTCACAACCCCGATCCATTGTAGACTGAACGGGGTCCACACCTCGATGGAATGGCCGCAACCACTCGCAATTATCACGACGCCATGGACAGTTATCAGCCGTGGCCCCGAATGCTACCACCCCTAGGTAATGAATAGGGTCTTCACGCTCACGACCACGAAACATTGAACGAGTACAGAGGTCCCCGCCACCATGCCGACAATTCCAAAGAACATTGCATTGGAGACCTGCGCCCCCAAGGCCAACGATCTAGCGCGCTGAATCCGGGCCCAAAGGCCACGAACCTTTCAGGCTTGAGCAGATACGGGCTTCCAGCGCGGCGATCTTTTGAACCACGGCGGTTCCAGCTCCCCAGACGATGACCCCTTGTGGCTGACGCTGGGGGTCGCGACCAAGGCCGCGATCCCTCGTGGCTTGCTTTTGGGTGCCCCAGGCTCCCGGAGCCAGTCCTGGTCGAATTGCTTTGGGCCTGCGCACCCGCGGCCACGGCCACAGTGAATTACAGCAGGTCCGCATTCCCAGTGCCGCGACCCATCTCAAGTTTTCTACGATCTGCGCTACCCAGGGCCACGCTTCGTGCAAACTACGCTGGTCGGCGCCCCCAGGGCCACGAGCCCTCGAAGTTACGATGGGCGTGCGCTCCAGGGGCTGCGCTCTGTCGCAATCTGCGACTCTCAGGGCCACGATTCCCGTCGAACTGCCTGGCATTCGCGTCCCCGGGGCCAACGCGTCTTCTGCAAGCTTGGCTCAAAAAGTCGCCCTGGGAAGGATCCAAGAAGCCCCACGCGTTGAGCAGGGACCGACCGTCCCGGCATTCCTATAGGCCTACCACGAAATGTTCTTAGAACCCAGCACTGTTCTAATAACAGATACGAAGTTCTTAGAACATAAGCCCGATGCGCTAAAACAAGACAGTCCCAGTCAGACATGTTCGAAGAACATTTCCTGGAACCCACAACAGGTTCTTAGAACATTGTTTGGTAGGCCTAAAGGCACGCCGGGACGCTTCGCCACTGCTTGGACGCAGCATGTCGCAACAGATCAGCCAGACAGCAGCGGGAGGACCCAACATACACCCACTGCGGCCTGCTCTCCCCTGCTGCCCTCGCCCTCCTCCCCCCCCCCGGGCCCCGCCTGTACATGCCGGCCCCGCCCCCCGCCCTCGCAGCCTCGCTGTCTCTGGCCTCCTCCTCCTCCTCCTCCTCCTCCTCCTCCTCCTCCTCCTCCTCCTCCCCCTCTGGTCGGCCAAGAAGTGGCCCCCTATAGAGGGCCTGTGCTCTCCGGACGGAGCTGCGCATACCCCAGGGCCAGGCTGGGGCCCTCACCACATCCACCTCCAGGCTCCTCCTTGTCTGAAGGGGCCCTGGGACACACAAATAAATAGCCACAAATGACAGGACTCCCAGTATTTTCTCATATGTTCTGGGTTTCTGTCTTCCCCCAACTTCCCATATTTTCCGACATTTTCTGGGGAATCGACGATTGATTGTGTCTGTGTGTTTTTTCTCTCCTAGTCCGTGTCTTCCAACAACGCCGCCCCCTCTCCGCTCACCCTCTCCGCCCTCCAACAAAACGGGCCCTGGGGGGCTGGCCCAGAGATCTTCTCCAAGCAAGGGGGCATCCACGTTCAGAAAAGAGTCGTCTTTTGAGAGGATCGCCCCCCTTTACATGTAGACCCCACGAAGGGCCTCCAAATGTAGACCCCACTTAAGGGCATCAAATGCAGACTCCCCCCATAAACCCACCATAAACACCATGAGATGTAGACCCTGCAGGCAATCCCACGGACATTACAATCGGCTCCAGATGTAGAGTCCGCGACCCCCCCCTTGAATGTAGACCCACGAGACGTCACCCAAAATCATTTGAAGAGGCCTCTCCTGGGGGCGCGAGGACTGGGGGATACCCTAGAAGAGCGAACGATCAACAAGGGAAGAATCGTTGTCAGAGAATGGGGGAAGCACGGATGCAAGAGATGGCGAAGAGAATGAGGACTCCTTCATGGAGGAGGTAGGGGAGGAGGAGGGGATGCGGAGGGGAGCAGGGGAGGAGGGGGGAGGATGACGACGAAGGGGAACGAATTAGGAGGACGAGCACGACACACTCGACTGCGAACCATCCGACCTGGAAGCGCCTTGGCAGGGGCACCCGAACGCGCAGCAACCAAGCGCGAGGAACTCGAGCATAAAGCGCAAGACCGAAGAGACTAGCAACGCACGATAACGCTAGACAGCTCGGGCTTGCCAATAACATCAAACACCAATTCACTCGAACTGGCCCCTTCGGGTTTGCCGCGGGGCGGGAGGAAAGCGCGAGCAGGCAGGGTCTTACGCTTTTGGCGTCACCCGTTCTGCCTGGACGCCATGCCACCTTCGTCTCTCAAGGGGCATGTGGGCCCCACGTCGGCCCACACATGGCCGCACACTTACATCGTGTCAACTAGGAGGAACGAAAAGGACACGAGGAAGAGCTCGAACGAGAAATGCAGGAGGAGGAGGAGGAGGAGGAGGAGGAGGAGGAGGAGGAGGAGGAGGAGGAGAATGCGCAAAGACGAGGGTAGGAGAGCGAGCCGCCCCCGAACGCAGAGAGCCACCCGAGCGTGCAGCTCCCGCTCGCGCAGCCAGCTGAGTGCGAAGCACCCCGGTGCGAAGCAGCCCGAGCGCGAAGCACCCGAGGGTGCATCACCCGAGCGCGAGACACCCGACGATGGAACGAACGAGTGCCTGACAAGGGAACGCGACGAAGCACCCGATCCAAATCCACGCGATCCCGTTGCCCAGCTCAGCCCAGCCCTGGCCCAACTCCTAAATGTCAGCCCAACCTATTCCGAAACGGCCCCACTCCGCCCACTTCCCCACTTCGGCCCACGTCCGACCACCTCGGTCCAACGTAGACATACTCAGCACGACTGAGTCCATCCCTGTAAAGCCCCCGCCCACACTGGCTCGACCCCCTCGAGTTCAACTCGTCCTGGCGAGAATGAATTCAGCCTCCAACAACTAATCCAAACCAAGTCACCCCCGCCCAGTTCAGCTCAATCCAAGGCAGCCGCGCTCGTTCGAAGCGAGCCCAGCCAGATCCGCGCTGTTCAGCTTAGCTTAGTCCCCCCCACTTCAGCTGGGCCCTGCCCTGCCAATACACACTGGCATTCTCTGCCAAAGTTCCGTTCGAGTGAATGCAGCCCAGCTCGGCGCGGCGGAACCAATACAGCCCTGCGCAGAGCATCGCATTCCAGTTAAGTCTACTTCAGCCAATCTCGGCTCATCGCAGATCAGACCACCCCAACCCAGCTCATCTCCGTCGATCCAATCCAAGCATCGCCCAGCTCAGCTCAAGACATCTCGGCGAAACCCAGCCGATCTCACACCACCTCAGATTGCAACAGTCCGCTTCGATCCCGCTCGATCCACTTCAGTCCAGCTGGCCCAGCCCAGTTCTGGCTAACCCACCCTAGCCTGACTCGCCCCGGCCCTGTCAAGCTCGGACGATGATCCGTCGAGCTCAGTCCAGCAGGTACATCTCGCCAGCCCAGCTCGGCGCAGCTCAGGCTGGCAACGCCCGACCCAATCCAACCCAGTCCCGCTCAGCTCAACACGCTCTAGCCTAGCCGACCTCTGCTTACCTCTGTCTTGCTCGGCCCGGGCTAGCCCTGCCAAACTCAATCCAGTTCAAGCCTGTCCAAGCCAACTTACCGTGGATCCGCCCAGCACGGCTCAGCCCATTGCTGTTCCGCCTAGATCAACTCGGCTACAACGAGCCAGCGCAGTCCAGTTCCGCCCAGACCACTGCAGCTCAACCACTTCAGCCCGACCCTGCATAGCTTACCCCAGTGAGATCCAGCCAAGACCCAGTCCCCGCATCTCGGCGCATATCAGCTCAGTCCAAATCTTCAGAGGAAAGCCACATGCGGGCACGTTCGCGCATCATCGCGCCTGGCTTCAGAATGGCCCGAACACCACGAATGCCTATCTCAGAGCAGCGCGTTTGCATGGCGCGCAGACTCTGACTGGCCCAGCGCATACAAATGTCGGCCCCGCCCCCGCTCATATCCAACCGCGTCCTGTGGGCCCCAAGGAAGGGGGGCGGCAGCGTTGTGCCCCCGCGCTCCCGCAGGCCGGGTCTACCTTTGGAGCACCCAAGCGGAGGTCTACGCTGCAGGATGCGATATACTTTTCCCACACGCTAAACCAAAATTCCTCACCGCATCCCCCCCTGAGCCCATCCCCCCACTGATCCTCGTCGTCTAATTTGCGGGTCATAACTCGGGTCTCCGGCGGCTGACGGGGCGATCCCGGCACCCCCAGAACGCTCTCGGCGAGGCGCAACTGCTGGAGAGCCTCCCGAGGATGGAAAGCCGTCGAGAACTGACGAACACGTCCGAAAACCTTGGCCGTCAAACCCCATGCCTCGCACCCCCCTCGAAGCCTCAACCCTCGAACCCCGATCACAGAGACGACAGCGGTAACAACGATAACACCAACGAAGACATCGGTGTCGTTGTCATCGTTGAGCAGAGGGACCGACCGTCCCGGCATTCCTAATGTTCTAAAAGCAAGTACAATGTTCTTAGAACATAAACCCGATGTGATCAAACAAGACCGACTCCGTCAGACATGTTCTAAGAACATTTCGTGGAAGCCACAAAAGGTTTTCAGAACATTGCTTGGTGGGGCTTTAGGCGAGCCAGGACGCTTCGCCACTGCTTGCCATCGCTCCCCGCGCCCCCCCTCTGCTGAGCCCCCCCCCGGCGGCGGAGCGCCGCGGACGCCGGCAGCCCGCCCGGCAGGCGGGCCAGGACGGAGCCAGCCTTGGCGGGCCACGGGCCGTCGCACCCGAAGAGGCCCTCGGCCTGCTGGCGGGGCCGCCCGCCGCTCGCCGCCGCCGACAACGACGAAGATGACGACGACGGCGACGACGAAGATGACGACGACGGCCATGACGACGACGGCCATGATGACGACGAAGACGACGACGAATATGACGACGACGACGGCGACGACGTCCATCACGACGAAGACGACGACGACGACGACGAAGATGACGACGCCGACGCCGACGACGACGACAATGACGACGACGACAACGACGATGATGACGACAACGACGACGGTCATCACGACGACGACGACAACGACGACCACGGCCACGACCACGACCAAGACGACGACCACCACGTTGCCGACAACGACCCGGACCTCCTCCCCATGGGGGAGAAACACGACTGGACTTGACCGCTGACGGCCTCTTGGTGGCCCTCGCCAGGCTCCACCTGGACCGTAAAGGAACTGCTCGGAAAGAACAACTGGCTCTGTGGAAGCAGTCGGAGGAGGAGAAGGAGGAGGGGGAGGAGAAGGAGGAGGAGAATGAGGAGGAAGATGGCTCACGCCCGAGATTTGCCGAGGTCTGGGCGTCTTGTTCCGCACCCGGCGTCTCTGCTCACTCTCAGGCCCCGCGGGGCCCTCCCGGACGGATGCGGCCTTGGTAGGAGATGCCACGGAGAGATTGTGCCCAAGGCTACTGGCATGAATGATTTCCCCCTGCCCTGACATGAGACGCCTCCTAGATGGGGTCCGAGTAGACGGGGTCCGAGGATGGCGCCGCATCGGCGATACATCGGCGATACATCGCCGATGCATCGGCGATGCACCGGGGACGTCGGCGATGCATCGGCGCCGCCGGCGTGGAGAACATCGGGCTCCACATCGAGCCGCATCGGCGATGCATCAGCGATGCATCGGCGATGCATCGGCGATGCATCGCCGATCCTTCGCCCCCCTCCTCCGCTCGGACCCCCTCCGGGAGGCCCAGGAGGCATCCGCCGACATGACTTCTCCAGTCCGCGGCCCCAGAGAGGTCTCGACCACACTTCCCCGGGGGCAGCGGTCTGCCCCACCGCCATTCTTGGTGGTCCCGGGGCCCGATCGCGGCCTCCGACGGCCGAACATCGAGGAGGGCGCCGGGATTGCGAAATTAAATGTCGCCGGAGATCTGGCGGTGCTGCAATTCTTTTCGCGGCGTGGGGCCTCGGGTACGACCTCCGCCGCGACCGCGGCCCCGACGCCGACGACCTCCACGCTCCCCAGTCGTGGCGGGCCTGGGACCCTCAGCCGACGCGCCTGGCCCCGGTGGACACCGGACCGAAAACGGGCCTGCTGTCCAGCAGGATGAGGGAAGGGAGGAGGGAGGGGAGGAGGGAGGGAGGGAGGAGGATGAGGAGGAGGAGGAGGAGGAGGAGGGAGGAGGGCGAGGAGGAGGAGGGCGAGGAGGAAGAGAGGGAGGGAGGGGACCAGGAGCAGGAGGGAGGAGGGAGGGAGGGAGGGAGGGAGGGAGGGAGGAGGAGGAGGAGGAGGAGGGGGAGGGAGCGGGGAGGTGAAGGACCGTTTTGGCACGTTTTGGCAAACACAGCGTGCACGAGGAGGGGAAACAGGAGAACGATCAGAGCCGGCCGCTGCTCCGTACAGCACAGCACTTCGACCAAACACATCGCCTGCTCGACCTGCCTCTCCTCCCTTCGGCCCCTGCCTCCCGTTTCCGTCCTCCCCCCCCCCTCACGCTTTCCCATCTCGCTCTCCTGCTCTTCCCTCCCCCCTCTGCCTCCTCCCAACCTCTCGCCCCACCTCCCGCCCTTCCGCCCTCCTCTTCCCGCCCTCCTCCTCCTCTGGCTCTCCTGTTCTCACGCACCCCCATCTTCCGCCTCCCTGCCTCTCGCCCCTGCATCCCAATCCAGTCTGTCCCCCACTCCCCACTCCGCCCAGCGGAGCGCTCCATATGACACTCCTTTTTTGTTTTACACAACAATCCTGTTGTTGAGTCCTCGTTTCGACGAGGCGGTCCCCGCGTCTCCTCTCCTCTCCTCCTCCAGCTCCTTGCCTCTGCCCTCATCAAAATGCGTCTCCCCCACCCAGTACAGCGTTTCGTGGCCCCAAACGGAGATCCACCGAAGGCCCCAGTGGCTGCTCCAGCATGTGGGACCCCCACGCTGACAGCGTTTCGTGGCCTCATGGGGAGCTCCACCGAAGGCCCCAGTGGCTGCACTCGAATGCGCACCCTGTGCAACGCTTCGTGGCCCCATAGGTAGCTCCACCGAAGGCCCCGGTGGCGGCTCTTGCATGCGGGACCCCCACGCTGTACAGCGTTTCGTGGCCCTGGGGAGCTACCCTCCTTGCCTATGCCCTCATCAGTATGCGTCTCCCCCACACGGTACAGCGTTTCGCGGGCCCATAAGTAGCTCCAACGAAGGTCGCAACGGCTGCACTCGCAAGCGGGACCCCTGCCCAGCACAGCGTTTCGTGGCCCAATGGAGAGCTCCACCGAAGGCATGCGGTTCCCCACCCAGTATAGCCCCAGCAGCTGCGCTCGCATGCGGGTTTCCCACCCGGTACAACGCTTCGTGGCCTCAAAGGGATCTCCACCGAAGGCCCCAGTGGCTGCACTCGCACCCACGCTGCATTGCGCTTGTGGCCCCATAAGCAGCTCCGCCAAAGGCCCCGGTGGCGGTGTCCGCATGCGCCCCCCCACGCTGTACAACGTTTCGTAGCCCCATAAGGAGGAGCTGAGGAGGAGGAGGAGGAGGAGGAGGAGGAGGAGGAGGGGGAGGAGGAGAAGCCCCATAAGGGGGCTCTGCCGAATGTCCCAGAGGCGGCCCCGCCCCAGTGCGGCGCACCCCTCAGGCGTTTCGCGGCCCTATGAATGGGCTTCGCGTAAAGCCCCAGTGTCGGCGCCCACGTGGCGGCCCCGCTCCATATCGGCACCCCCTTCGCGTGCTTCGTGGCCCAATGAGGAGCTCCCCCGGAGGCGATACCCGCATCGACGGCGCTCACAACTGCACATGGTTGGATCCTTCGCCGGGATAGGTTTTTCTATGTGTGTGTGCGTGTGTGCGGCCTCCTGTCCCCCCTCCACTCCGCCCCTTCCACCTTTTTCTGCTCCCATCTCTCACGCTTCGTTTGCCGCACTAACCCACTCGCTCTGTGAGCGCGCACCTACTATCTCCATCGGCGTTGCCCTTGCTGTCGCTGATAGCCGTGCGGGCTCCTTCCCCTGTCGTCGGATCGGCTTCTCTCTGGTCCGTCCTCACTTTCTCCCTGCCGTCAACGCCTCGATGGCATCTTGTGCGGCCCTGCTCGGATGCTGGCGCGCGCGGGGCCGCGATCACCAAATCAACTGTGTGTGTGTGTGTTTGGGCGTGTGGGCATGTGTGTGTGAGTTTGTGTGTGTGTCTGTGTGTGTGTGGGCATCTGTGTGTGAGCATGTGTGTGGGCATGTGTGTGTGGGCATGTGTGCGTGTGTGTGGGCATGTGTGTGCGTCTGTGTGTGTTTGTGCGTCTGTGTGTGTCTGTGTGTGCCGCCCTCCCTTTCAGTTGTGTTCCGCCACGCGCGGCCCCCCACTTGCAGCGCCCTGTGGAACTCGCAATAGCTCGCGCCCCAAGCTATCACCCGATAGGGTAACGTCGGGTGACGTCACCTGGCTGGCGGAAGGACAGATGTTTTTCTTCTGGCAAGCGCATCTTTCGGCGAGGGGGAGACGATGCGCAAAGGGAAGGCGCGACGATCATCCTGCCGATACACTCGTCACACCGTCCACCATGGGCTTCAAGAATGGGGCACGGAGCGACAGTAATTAATACAAGAAAGTATCAGCGACGGAAGGAAGTGTGTGTGTGTGTATGTTAGATGAAGAGCCCGACGCCCCGATGAGGCCTCAACGGCGTGTGAGCAAGACGCGATGAAGTACTGACATTTCTTGAGTCGAGTCGTTCTTTGTCGCCCCCCCGAAAGGATGTAAAACCTCAAGGATCACTTCCCTTCGTGCTGACTGATAAGCGCTCTCCCTTACCACTTCCCTCTCCCCTCGCAAGTCGATTTCTGGATCTGTCCAGGTGCGCCTCTCGACCAGACTTGCGAGACATATCCAGCCGTTGCGACGAGAAGCCTCCCAGAAACGCGAAACAGAACAACGGACAACTTCGAACCTCCCCCTCCGTCTTTCACCTCTCCCGGCCTGAGCGGCCAGCGACAGGAAGGCGCCGCAATAGCAGAAAGCGAGCGTCCTGCGCACCACAAACCTGCGACGCTCGTCGGACTCTCGGATTGACACTCGCCGTTGCCGTCGCCCTCGCCCTCCATCGCTGTTGCTGCCCCCATCGTCGACGTCGCTGTCCTCCTCCTCCTCCTCCTCCTCCTCCTCCTCCTCCTCCGTCCTCCCATCCGTTTCTTTCTCCCTCGCCCTCCATCTCGTGTTCCTCCTCCTCTTTGCGGGGTCGCTATATCCGTCCCCTCTCTCCCCTCACTCCATCTGGCTCCTTCCCTCACTCATACATGTCTCCCTTCCGTCCTTCATTTTACGCCTTTTTCTCTTCCCTTCACCTGCCCCTGCTCCTCCTCCTCCCTTCCCAAACCTGTATTCATGGTGTTCCCTTTCGTTGTCTCTGCCACCGTGCTGTCGGCACTGAGTGGCATGTCTTCAAGTCCGTTCGGGTGGTCTGTGCTGAGTGCTCGGATTCACTTTCAGAGGCCCAACGCTCAAATTGCTGGATATCCCGGGCATCGCCGCGTGACTTCTCGGGTGTACTGCGTGACTCTCCCCGAGGCCAAAGCATCATTGAACAACCATGTGTGTGTTCACGAGCTGGCTCCACTAGCCCTATTGTGACAAGATGGCCGTCGACACCGCCCAGAGGCCCTTCGAGGCGCCGAAGAAGCTTCAAAAGGCAGCCGAAAGGTCCCCAGGAGACCACCAAGAGGCCCCCCCAAGGCCCCTCCCAATCTACCAATATGCATCACATCGGACGCCGACCCACAGACTGGAGACGGTGGCGGACTGGGCTAAATAGAGCTACACTTGTACGAATAGACAAATATGTTCCCATAACGACGCTTGCACTAAAGGCTTATTGGCAAGATCTCTCACGCGTCTGTGCTGTCCTAGAGCGCTCCAACAGACAACGCACATAATGGACCAAGCTCGCGACCGGCACGGATTGAAATGAAAAGCGCGCTGCGTGGAGAACGCATGAAGATCGAACAAGCAGCCGCGCCTCATAGCGGCCCGCGCTGTACACCAGAGGCGATATGACAGGGCCTGCCAAAAGGTCTACTCTGGCCGCGACGCATCACTCTCCTTGGCTTGGGATTGGCTTGCAGTTCTAGCCCAGGACGGCGTCCCTGGAAGTCCCGACCCTTTCCCCGGGACCAGTTTTTCGTCCTGAGCCCTTTTTGACGGTCCCGAGGCCCGGCGAGCCCGGCGAGGGCACCCCCAGGGCCGAAGATAGCCAAAAACCTCCCGCCCTGATTTTTTCCTACGACGCGATCATGTCTGGGGCCGGCAGTTCTCGCTCTGGGCTCGGCCCTGCTGGGCGCCCGGGGGCATCGCCGTGCTGGCTGGGCATCCTGGGCCTTCGCCCGGTGGGCGCCCTGTGGCCGCCTCGGGGGCGCCGCCGCCGTCCCGCGCTCCGCCGCCGCGGCGGAGCGCGAGCCGATCCTCGAGGGAGGAGTCGGGGGTCGCGGCCCGAGGAGATCCGAGGTTCGAGGATCGAGGCCCCAGGATATCCGAGGATCGAGGGCCGAGGGTCGAGCTCGGAGTCGCGGATCGAGGCTCGAGGCCCGAGGAGATCCGCGAGGATCGAGGGAGGAGTCGGGGATCGAGGCGCGAGGATCGAGGATCAAAGATCGAGGCCCGAGGATATCCGAGGCCCGAAGACATCCGAGGATCGAGGATCGAGGGTCGAGCTTGGAGGCGGCTGGAGGGTCTGAACTGGCTGGGGCCCCAGGAAATCGGCCATGGGGCGGGACATGGAGCCAGATCCGACACAACTCGGTCATTGGCTCCCTCCCAGGGTCCACCTGGTGCAATGTTTCACCCCCGGTCCCTGTTTGACGGTCCCGATCCGAAAAAATCCTTAACCCATCTCCTCCTCCACCGCCTCCTCCTCCTCCTCCTCCGCCTCCTCCTCCTCCTACTCCTCCTCCTCCTCCTCCTCCTCCTCCTCCTCCTCCTCCTCTCCCCTCCCCCTCGTCCTCCTCGTCTTCCTCGTCCTCCACCGCCTCTTCCTCCTCTTCCTCCCCTCCTCCTCCTCCTCCTCCTCCTCAATCATCCTCCTCTCTCCTCTCCTCCCCTCCTCCTCCTCCTCCTCCTCTCCCCCCTCCCACTCGTCCTCTCTTCCTGCCTCGTCCTCCACCTCCTCTTCCTCCTCCTCCTCCTCCTCCTCCTCTCCTCCTCCTCCTCTCCCCCCCCACTCGTCCTCCTCGTCCTCCTAGTCCTTCGTCCCTCCTCTTCCTCCATCCTCTCCTCTCCTCCTCCCCTCCTCCCTCCCTTCTCCTCTTCCTTCCCCCCCCCCCCCCACTCGTCCTCCTCTCCTCCTCCTCCCCTCCTCCCTCCTCTCTCCTCCCTCCCCCTCCTCCTCCTCCTCCTCCTCCTCTTCCTCCTCTTCCTCCTCCTCCTCCTACTCCTCCTCCTCATCATCATCATCCTCCTCCTCCTCCTCCCCCTCCTCCTCCTCCTCCCTCGGAGGCTGCAGCATTGGAGAAGCCTTGCCGAGCCCAGCGCCTCGAACCTGGCCTATTTCCCTGCCTGCTGCCGCCGCCGCTCCCCGGAGAGGAGTCGAAGACCAAGGGCTCGAGGAGGAGAGCCGAGATCGAGGTATCGAGGCTCGAGGAAGAGAATCGAGGCTCGACGCTCGAGGCCACCCGAGAGGAAGCGAGGCTCGAATGTCGAGCGGGGCCGCCGCCGTGGCCGCCGCCGCCGCCCCCCCGGGGAGCCTCGACGCGCGGTACTCGCCGACGCCCTCGGCGGCGGCCGCCACGGAGGGCTCGTCGTCCCGGGCGCCCGCGCGGGCGGCGGGCATGGCGGCCGTCGGCCCGGGGGCGGCCGCGGGATGGGACGGGGGGGGGCGGCGGCGGGGGGAGGGGGGAGGGAGAGGGGAGGGGAAGGGGGGAGGGGAAGGGGGGAGGGGGGGGGGGGGAGGGGGGGGCTTGACGGGGGAGGGGGGAGGGCGCGCGGGGAGGGAGGGAGGGGATGGGGAGGAACGGGGGGGCGGTAAGGAAAAAGAGAGGGAAGCAAAGACCAGGATGAGGGGGGGGGGAGGGAGGGAGGTGGAGAAGGCGATGCGGATGGCGAGGGTGAGGATGAGGACCGGTGATGCTGATGCTGATGATGGGCGATGGTGCTGGTTGTTGGGGTGGTGCTGAAGGTGAACCCAAGGGGTGGGATGGATGCGGGAACTAAGCGGGCGAGGGGCGCTGGCCAGGAAGGGAAGAGTGGACGCAATGAAGGAGTGGTCCGAGAAGAGAACGCCAAACGAGCGAAAAAGTTCGTTGCCCTTTGAAAGAGTTGTCCCAATCACAAGCGAACGTGCCCATGACTTCCCACATGTCGGGAGGGAGCTGGAGGGGAAGGGGCAGGTGGATCAAATTTTCCGCCGCTCAGCCCGGGCGGCAACAACACCACGCACTGTGAGCACTGCAGATCACTGCAGCACGCCTCGCCACCGCGTGCCACGGAGTAGTGCCTGGCAGGCGAGGACAACAACACAGGGGGAGGAGCAGAAAAGGAGGCGGGGAAAGAAGGAGAGGGAGGGCGCCACAAGTGCGGCAAAGTGGCCGCAGCAAGGTGGCCGCTGCGAGGCCGGAGCTGGGCCCGGCTGGCGACGATGGTGGCGATGGTGTAGGGCTGCGATGTGGATAGGGCGATGATGGTGATTCCGACTCCTTGGTGGAATCAGCAAGGCGGCTTGAGCGCTGAAGCCTGCAGCTCATCCGCTCGGCGTGGTGGGCGCTTCTGTGTTCGGCTGTGGGCCAGCGTCCTTAGACGCCGGATGGACTTCCTCAGCCCTGTGGGCTGAAGGCCGTGCTGGTGGCAGATGCGATCCAGATCCTCGGGGGCGAGGTGGGCCGCCTCATCGTACGCAGCAATGGTGCGATCGGAGCCCGTGGCGTCGAGGGCCGCGACGCAGGCCCCACGCCGCGCGAGGCTGGAAGCCTGTCAACGGCGCGGGGAGCGCGGCGGCCAGCCATGGCGGCACGCGCAGGAGCGGCCGACCCGTTGGTGGGCGGCACAAGGCCGTCGTCCAGTCCAGCACGTGCAGAAAACCGGGGGGTCTTGTTGCGCGGCCCTGGATCACGAGGGATCATTGAGCCAAGACTGGCTAATACATAGATGAATCGAACTACCTATGTACTGTAGAATTATAGGTATACTTGTGTACATATATATATATATATACATATATATATCGCGAGAGACGGGTAATGAGCTAAACATATGTTTATGCATAAGTACCAAGGAACGTATACAACGAGAGGCACCTATGCGCACACTTAACACGCGCATCACCACATATGTGCGCACACACAACCTGTATAATAAAGGTGCGCGGTAAGGATGCCAGGGCCTCGGAAGGCCGCGCCAACACTTTGCGGGCGGTGCGCGGCCAGCGAAAGCGGCCAAGGACGGGCCGAACGGGAAGGATGCAAGGGCAACCTCGGGACATTGCTCATCCTTGCTGTGCGGGTTAGCTGTGTATATCCATAGATATGTAGATGCAAACACATACACGTATATAAAGAGAACGGGCACGGGAGAAGGGACATGATGATATCTATATGTATGCATGTATATACATACATGTATATATATATATATATCGAGAGAGAGAGAGAGAGAGCGACAGAGAGAGAGAGAGAGAGAAAACAAAAAAACAAAAAAAAAACATAGGAATAGAGAGAGAGGAGAGGAAACATGAGAGAGAGAGAGAGAGAGCGAGAGAGAGAGAGAGAGAAACCGATAATCTATACATATATATATATATATATATATATACACATAGATATCCTTATCCGCCAGCCCGCTTGCGGGGCCACCAGGCTGTAGGCCGGGAATGTGCTGCTCCCTGTGCCAGTTGCAGTTTCCAGTTTCCACTGTTACAGTTATGTTTCTTGCTGGTTACTGTTCCTCGTTGCTGAACGTGCGAGGGGGGGAGCCCAAACCAGCACAACTACCACGCCCCGGGAGGGTTCTCAGAATTTCTGGGGGGGTGAAAATTGACACCCCTCACGCAAATCCGCAGGGTCAGGGTCCGAACACACAATGGATTTGCTACAATTTTGAACTTCAGTGGCACCCCTCACGCAGATCGGCGGGGTCAGGGCCAAACAAACAATGGGATTTGCCACATTTCTGAAATTCGGTGACACCCCTCACGCAGATCGGCGGGGTCAGGGTCCAAAAACACAGGGGATGCGCAACATTTCTGAAACTCGGCGGCGCCCCTCACGCAAATCGGCGGGGTCAGGGTCCAACAACACAAGGGATGTGCCACATTTCCGAAATTCGATGGCACCCCTCACGCAGATCGGCGGGGTCAGGGTCCAAAAACACAAGGGATGTGCCACATTTCTCAAATTCGGTATCGCCCCTCACGCAAATCGGCGGGGCCAGGGTCCAAAAACACAACGGATGTGCCACATTTCTGAAATTCGGTGGCACCCCTGACGCAAATCGGCGGGGCCAGGTTCCAAACTAAACATTCGCAAATTACGCTGCATTCGCATTGCCGAGGCCAAGATTGCTTCAAAGAGGCCGATGATGGTTCCGAGACTGCCCCAGAGGGCCCAAAGAGGCACCAAAAGTGCTCCAAGAGGCCTCCAGAGAGAGCCCCAAGAGGCCAAAACCGTACACTTGACGATTTGTTTTAAAGGCTTGGCCTTCTCGCATTTTCGGCTTTCCGACGCTCCAAGACGGCTCAAGAAGCTCCCAAGACCGCCCCAAGACAGCCCAAGACGCCTCCAAGAAGGCTCCAAGACGGCCCAAGAGGGCTCCAAGATGGCCCAAGAAGCACTCAAGACGGCCCAAGAGGGCGCCGAGCCGGCCCCAAGAGGGGCCCAACCAGGGGACCACGAACCGAACATTCGATGTGTGCCAAGAGAAGCCCCCAAGAGGCCCCAAGAGGCGCCCAAGACGCGCCCAAGAGGCCTCCAAGAGGCCCAAATAATACCACACGAGGGCTCCTGCTCC